GCAGCTGCGTCTGGAATCCCGCGGAAATCAAATTCCTCGAGGCCGCCGGCGAGGTCCAAGAGCGAGGCCCTGGAAACAACGACGAGCACGCCCTTTGCCCATGCAATGTCCAATTTGACGGTACCGCGTCCAGCTGCCACAGGAAGCCCGGGACCGGAAAAATCTAGACCCTGTACGCCATGATGGTGTAAAACAGACCGAGCCCGATGTCGCGCCACACCCTGGCCCTGGAGAGGAACTTCTCAAGTGGCTTATTCCACGACAACTCCCCTCTCTCGGGGCCCACCACGAAGCCCAAGTACGCGGCGTGTCGGCGGACGGCGAATCCCCCCATGTCGGCGCTGCTGCGTGCAGACGGGCCCTGACCGGATCGAGAAGATCCAAAGAGAGCGGGACCCAAACCGTTTTGCCTCGGTGCAGGCGCAAGCCAGCTATGCGCTCGCACTCGTCGAACGCGCGCTCCAGGATCGGGGCGCCCCCCGCCCCCCGGGGAAAAATCATCGCTAACTCGTCCGCGCATGCGCGAGGAAGAGCTTCAGGGAGGAGACGAGGGAGGAGACGTAGAAGCACATCCGAGAGCACCGCGAAAAGGAGGGGCGAGAGGGGGCACCCTTGCCGAACACCTGCAGCGAGCTCGAAGCCATCGAGGACGGCCCCGGGCCCAACAAGCTGACACCGATCGTTGCGGTAGATCGCCCGGACCTGCGTAAGAATCCACGGCAGCCAACCGCGAGCCTCCAGCACGTCCATGAGGAACTGCTGGCTGACACTCGGGAAGGCCGCCTCGAGATCGAAGAGCACTGCTGCCGCCGAGTCCGATTCCAAGGAGTGGTGCAACATCGCTTTTTCCACGACAATCAAATTCGCCAGCATGGAACGGCCTTGTAGGAAGCCGCGCTGGGAGTCCGATGTCCCAGGTGCGATCGCAGGTTCAATCCACGCGCGAACCGCACTGGAGAAGATGCGGTTGTCCGCGTTCGTTATGTTGAAGGGCCGCATGCTCGCAGGCGTGAAGTAATCGACGCCGTCGGCCGCGGTGCCAGACGGCTTCTTAGGTAAGAACACCATCGAGCTCTCATTGAACGAGCCCCGATCTGCCGCGAGGAGGTCGAGATCAGAAGGGCCAACTATCGCAAAGAAAGCGTCGTAGAGGGCATGGGCCGCGAGGTCCCCTAACTGGAGCCATGCCCGGAATGGAACGTCATCCGGCCCAAGAGAACTGTTCTTAGTCGAACGGATCGCCTGGTCAAACACCTCGAACGGCACCACGTCGCCCGGCACGTGCTGGCGCTGCTTTGCAGAGGTATACCGCAACTCGTCGGCCAGCAACGCCTGTCGCAACGCGCCGTCGGCACTGCGTCGACGGAAGATCTGTGACCAGTGCTCCCGCAAAGCGAGGGCGATGTGCATGGGCTCCGTGCTGATGTGGCCTGGGCGGTCACTCAGGGCGCAATGGGGGCAGCCGCGTCCAGGCGCCAGGCGGGTGAGTAGGCGATGGTTGCGTTGCCGACGACGCGTGGCCTGTTCTGGTGAAAGGTCCTGGAGGCCCGAGTGTAAGTGGCCCAATTCGTCCATGGCGTGGTCGCGAGCAAGGTCAGATGCATGAAGAGGAACCAACCTGAGTCTGTGCCCAATGCCCGAAGAGAAATAGTAAGGATTGTCCACCAAATCTTTAAGAAGAGGGTACCGGACAATGCACTGGCTGACGCCCGTCGCGGGCCCCTTCTCGGAAGCACGGAGCAGTTGCATGGCGGCGCCGAGCCAGTCTTCGTACGAAACTGTGCATGCCGATGCGTCTGCATGGAGATTCAGGTGGCGCGCTGCCTGTCGCATGGCGGTCTCGAGGAGCGTCAGCTGCTTGATGGGAGAGGCGTCCACCTCGGCCGTCAGCACTCGTGCCACGCCAGCGCGACGTGCCCGGGCCACTCCGGATGATCCACCATCTGGTCAGGAAGATGCGCCACTTCCCCTGAGGAGCGTCGAGGTAGCGCCCGGCGGAAACTGACCGCCCGGTGACGGGAGAGGTCTGGGCGCCAGCCCAGCGGGGCGCATGCCATCGTCCGGTCAAAACCTTCCACCACATTTTGGTTGCAATACACCCGGTCCAGGCGAGGGCGCGAATTTGGAGACGAGTAGGTCATGTCCGGCTGGTGCATCTCATGCAACCCATGCGGGATCTCCAGAAGACGATGCCAACTGGTCTGCTCAGCCCAGTCGCGCCCTCCCGTCATGTCGGCAGTGGTGGCGCAGCGACGATCTTGGGCCTCTGGGATATAGTTGAAGTCGCCGCCTAGAATGGTCAGAACCTCGACCGTCGGGGAGATGCTGTCCGTGAGTCGGCGTCGGAGGGCCTCCCGCAGCTCCGCGCAGGAAGGTGTCCGACCCAGATCAGACAGCCCTGCTGTGTCGATGTCGTGCTGGTAGATCGTGCCTGCGTGGAAGTAACAAGGAGGTCCAGATTCCCCAGCGGACCCCGAAGCTGTAGAACCGCGGCGCGTCCGTGATGAAGAGCCCGCCAACGGTGAGGCGCGGTGAACTGCTCCAGGAGGGTCTTCTTGACAGTGATGCCGACGCCGGCGCTGCCCGCCACAGCGCCTGGTAGCCACCAAGACGTACGTCCTGACGGGTTGCGCCAAGTGTCGCCACTGCCCTGCGTGCCATGCGTCTCAGTCCAAAGGCCAACGTCGTGCGATGAGTTGACGGGCGCACTGCGCTTTCCGCTTGTGTCGGCTGGGGTCGGAGGCAAACAACGCCTGGCAGTTCCAGGTGACCACAAAGATTTCTCCGAGAAACGGGCTGCCCGCACAGGCGGTCCGCCGTCGTGAGCGGGGCACCGGCCGAGATCGAGGCACAGAAGGCGCTGGAGCTGCGCCATGAGGGTGGCCCGAAGCTGAGCGGAGCACGGACTGCATCCTCAGCGAGAACGGGACGTCGGCCTGCGCAGCACCAGGGGTCTGGTCGATCCAAGCAGGGCCAAGTGGAGAGAGCAGATGAGGCGGGAGAGCACGGAGCCCGCGGCGAGTCCCCGCGGCCGATCCGGGGAGACGTGGAGAACGGGATCGAGTGGTTGGAAATCTCTCGGTCGTCGTAGTAGAAGACGGGGTAGTACGAGGCGACGAAGAGGAAGCGCCGGCAGGAGCGCGGCGCGATGAGCCTGGGCCGACAGACGTCGGAAGGAGGTCAGAGGCGACGTCCAGAGTCGGGGAGACGTAAGACCCGGGTACGGGGGACTCGGAAATCCCCGACGAGGTCGTCAAAAAAATGACGAGGCCGAGCCTGCATTTTGACGAGGCCTCCCGCTGCAGACATCCCACGAAACTCCTCCTCGTCAAAATCCGAGGCGCGGTCGTCAAAAAACCATGGCGAACCCGAGTCCTGGCAAACCCGGGTCTTGCGTTCCCCCGACAGAGTCCAGCAGGAGGTGCCTGAGAAAGAGTAGCATTGACTTCCCCTGCCGGCGGCCTCGGCCGCAATGGCTGGCGAGTGGCCCCGGGAGAGGCGGCCCCTGCCCTTCCCCGCCCGCCGCCTCCCGAGAGCGAGCGGGAGTCGAACAGGTCGTTCTGGACGGTGATTCGGCGGTGGGCAAACCTCCCTTTAGTACACCTCCCCTTAGTGAAAACGACCTAGGGCGGAAATCGACGGACCTGGACCCGCAAAAATGACGGCCGCGACGCCCTCTCGCGAGTCGAAAACGGCCAATTCCTCAGTCGACGTGTCAGGGTAGGAGGTCTGTCCACCTCCGGACGGGTGATGCTCACGCGGTCCGTGCCGACCTGGAGGACCTGCCCGTGGAGGGCCGCGCTGACCTTCTGCACCTCGTCGGCGGAGTGGAGGTAGAGACGAGCGCGCCCTGGAGGAGCCGATTCATCTCGGGACGCCAGGTGGACCCATTGGCCCGTGCGCGGGCGTTGCCCCGGAGGCGTCGGCTCCACAGTCCATCCGGCGGCGGAGCTCACATGGGTCATGAGTTGATCGAGCACCATGCCGCCAGCGTCCCCGGCCTCGCCTGAAATGGAGACCTCCGCGACGTGGTCCATCAGTTTGAACGCCCGAAATGGGTACCGAAAGAATGGGTACAATGCCCAACAGCAAATGCTGTCCCGAACCAACAGCGGCCGCTGTTGGGCAGGCGGCCTCCCGTCTCGATTGGACACAGGCCGCGGCGGCGTGGACAGCGAGCCCTGTTCAGAATGAACAAGATCCGCTGTTGGGCATTGTACCCGTTCTTTCAGTACCCCTTTCGTGCGTGCAGAATCAGGCCGGAAGCTCGCACAGCGCGCCCCCGACCGACGGCGGCGGGAGGCGGCAGGTGCGGATGGCGTTGCGGAGGGGCTGACCCACGGCCGGCCTCCGGATCGGCTGGCCTTCCCCTTGGTCTTGGCGATCGCATGCTCGGCGTCCTCCAACGAGGACTGGTCCAACACTGGTGTCCACGACTCCACGGGCGCCGACGAGAAGATGAGCAGCCGGTCCGTGGACAGGTAGAGCGCCTGCGAACATAGAGGCCAGGCTCTGCGGAGGGCCATCGGGCCGTTGCATTCCGAGACGAGCGCGTCTGGGGAGGTGTAGAGGTCCCGGTGCTCGATGCATATGGCCTGCGATAGCACACTGCGCCGCAAGAAGCGCATGGCCAAGGTAACGGTGGCCTCGGAGAGGGTGCCATGTAGCAACAGTTCCACTTTGATGCGTGGACTCTCCGGGGTGCTGCCTGGGCTTCGAGTGGTGCCCCGAATGATGATGGATACTGGGTAGTCCCGCACCTCCGAGCCGTGGAGCTTGTGCAAGAAGTCTGGGATCATGTCTGTGGGAAGGTCCACCCAGAGGGAGTTCACCACCGGCAGCGTGAAGAGCGGCGTGAGGGGTGTATGGACGGTGGCCGCGGAGCGGACGAGGTCGAAGGCGATGGTAAAGCAGGCGAGGCCTTAACGCACATGACGAGGAGCCGAGCGCCCAGGAAGAACGTATTCCACAGGCTGCAAGACCAGGTCGACGTGCTTGACCAGCGAGGCGTACTTTTCGCCTAGGAGAGGATGCCACCATAGGTCGAACAGCTTGCTTGGCGTGTCTACCCCGGGGAAGTGCGGGAGGGGGACCAGGAGTGAGAGACGCTCAGGGCGGAGTGAGGGATCTGGCTGCCGAAGAAGACCCGCGAGGATCCGCTGCAGAGCATTCGAATCTGCCGGAGCCCAGGCCACGACTCGTTTGCCTCCCATCTCACGCAGTGCCCGGCAGTCGCCTTTCTCCAACAATGCCGCCAATCCACGATGAGTGGCGATTGTGCCTGTATGGTCGGTGCCAGCGTCTCCAAGCAGCTGCGACCACTGCGTGGCCAGCATGGCGTCCGCACAGCCAGGAAGTCCCCATACTGCCTGCACTGCCGACTTGCCGAGCTCCCTCCAGCGAGGGAGAGGAGAGGGTCGGGCACGGCGACGCTCGCGGAGGACGTCTGCCAGCATCTCCTCCCAGCGCGCGCCGGCCTGCAAGAAAGTCGCAGAAGCAGCGGCTGCGCGGTCCTTCCCCTCCTGCTCCCATCTATCGGACTGCCCGAAGGAGCAGAGTGTGATCGCAGTCTTCGTGCGGAGGCTGATGTCCTGGTCTGTAGGCTCTGGACCGTCCAATGGGCCGAAGCCCAAGACAGCCCATGTCGGAAGCCTGATGGTTGTAAGCCAGCTTGGTAAGAATGCAGCCGAGGTCTGTCCATGTTGAAGGTGTCATGATCATCTGATTGCGGATCTCCGCCGGCTGAATGAGGCTCTGCGCCTGCACCAGCTCGAAGTATCGAAGCATCGCCTCTTCCACGTAGTCCTGAAATATGCCATCCAGAGCGCGAGCCGCGTCGCCTGCAACGGTGGCAGGCTGCAGTGGGAGTCCAGGCGACGGCTTAGCGGGCCAAGCGGCTGCAGCGGCGGCCTGGGTCCTACCGATCTCGTCCTCGTCGACCTGGACGTCGTCCAGCTCGGCCATCGTCAGGGCCACGCCGGAATCCACGGAAGTGCCCACATGCAAGGCCGCCATGCCCTGCGTGGCGCCGGTCTGGTCGGTCGCGGTGTCCATGATGTCGCCCTCGGCAGCTCGGGCCAGGCCTGGCGGCGGGGCCACAGGGGCCGTCGCCGATCCGCTGGCCATGGCGTGTGCCGCGCAGACCTCCTGACCTGGCAGGGCGGGGCCATCGAAGCCGCGGGCGACACAGACCCGGCAGCGCACCGCCATCGGAGGCGGAGATCTGGAGGTGGACAGCTGGAAGGTAAGAGGGGGTGGTTCGGCGCGGTTTGGGCCTTGAGCCAAACAGGATGCGGAGCAAACAGGATGCGGAGCAGGTCAGTCACAGCTTCTCCCATGTGATTTCAACCGATCGGAAGTTCGGCCAGCGCCCATACAGTCAACGCGCCTAGTAAAGACCGCGCCCCTTCATCTAGGGTATCCTTGTGTCCCTGCCTCTGCGGCCCGTCCTTTGCCGTTTTCACTGGTCACCCGCCGCCCCCAAAAATCCGAACTCCGGCCTCGAAGGGTCTTGCGTCCATGCCACTCGCCCTTGATCTATGTTCTCACAACACATAAATCCTACACCTATATCAGTATATGGTCTTTGCATACATAGACAAGTAGGGAGCCGAACTCTATACACCGACGCCTTTGTCTGGCCTCAAACTGAATCTCGCACAAGAAAGCGGATCCTGGTGTATATGGGATCCTGGTGTATACATGCTTCGTTGTTTCCCGTGGAAAGCGGGGAAAAGAGCGTACACCACACCACCCCGACGTCGTCCCCGACCCTCAAAAGAGTCCTGGGATTGAAAAGCCGCCCGCCACTGGTAATGAAGATGTTCCGGTTCCGATAAATCATGCCCCCATCTCTGCACATGGTCTTTGCACACGTAGACGAGCGCACAAGCACAGAACACGACTGACAACAGCCAAAAGCGCCCGCCTCGACCGCCTCCGCGCGCATGAGCGCGGGCCGCGCGCCTGGGCCGGCGGGCTTCCGAGGGTCCGCCAGCAGGGAATGGCGCCCCCTCGCGTCCACGGCGGCCTCGACCTCCGTGGGCGGGGGCGCGAGAAACTCCGCTTCGGGTACATGTCGGGGCGTTGACCTAAGGAACGACAAGTAAGGAAGGAGGCCCCTTTTTCCCAGAAGGTAGACTCCGATGTTCCATGGAAAACCTCAGGAAAACCCCAGGAGCACTCTGAAGCAACTCAGGAACACGGAGCCCCTCCCAAACGAAAAGGGTTCCTTCTTCAGCGGCCCGACTGTAGTCCGAATTTCAGTTCGTCCGCTTCGATTCGTCCGTGTCGATTCGCCCGCATCGACTCGTCCGGCTTCGGGTCGTCCGGTTTCAGTCCGTCCAGGCTCCGAACAGGGGACGGAGCACAGGAGGACGAATCGAGAGAGGACACGTCCAGAGAGGACGGAGCGAAAGCGGACGAGATGAAAAGTCCACCGAGGCGAGGAGGTCTAGGCTTGGGCGAGGCGTCCGCGACGGCACGCCTCGAGGGCTCGCACGGGTGGGAGGGCGCCGGGCGCGCCTCCAGCTGCACCGAGGCAGGGGCGAGGCAGCGAAGCGGGTCGGCCCTGCTGGGACTCGGGCCGGAGAGTACTGTCGAAGCGCTGCCAGAAGGAACCCTGAACAAGGATCGAGGCCCCTTTGCTCAATATAGGAGGCCTAGAAATTGGCACCAACACCAACACAGGGGGTTGCGTCCACAGGGGGAAGATGATCCTCGATTTCGGTGTTGGTGGCAATATTTCGGCCACCTTGGAAGCCAAAATATTACCACCATCACCGAGATCGGGATCGTCTTCCCTCGGTGGAGACACACCGCCGATCTCGGTGTTGGTGTCAATCTCTAGGACTTTGACAATCGATTAGGCTTCGATATCCCATAGAAAACCGGAAGAAAGCCTGAGACATGCCATAAAACAATTACCCGTCGGTCGGAAGAAGTAGGTTGAAACACGAAGTAGGAAGGCGCTGACAGTAGATTGGATTCCGTCAGCCCCCGAAGGAGGACGGAAAAGGTGAAGCCACTCGATCATTGGAGTAGGAAGGGCGCTTGAAGTAGGCTGGAATCTGTGAATCCAAGAATACCTGCTTTCAACGACCGATGGGTAAAGTTCACTGAGCCGCTCCCCCCAACGAAAACGGCTCCTTCTTCAGCGGCCCGAGTGCAGGTGGAGGCGCAGGGACGAGGGAGGCCCCCCCTAGGCGGCCCCAGGGCGCGCCCAAACAGCCCAAGAGCGCCCCAGGACGCCCCGAGATGGCCTCGCGACGGCCCACGAGGCCCCCAAGACGCCCCAGGAGGGCTCTCAGAGACGCCCCAGTCAGGCTCCAAGATGCAACGATCACTGATGTTGCTTCGATGCTTGTGGGATTTGGGCGTGCTCAACTTTTCGGGCTTATCCAAGAAGCCTCTGACCCTCAGTGGCAGGATTGGCCGAATGCCACTAGATATGCTCGCACCTTGGCTGGGGGCCGAAGGTTGAGCTGCCTAGTGATTGTAGGCGGAACGGAATATCGATACTCCGCGCCGTTTTTTTTCAACGGACTGGTGCTGTGGACGCGGAGTGGATGCGGGGCTTACCGCGCCTACGTTTCGGCAGGCCGAGATGGTCGCCCGACTGCCGCGCAGCCTCCTTCGCTTGTTCGGACCGAGGTCAACTGAGACAAAAGCGGTTCTCTCGCCGGGCCCAGATCTGCGCAAACTCCGCCCCCGAACCCTCCAGGGGTCCATCCTGACCAGTTTTTCGAGACGGATCCAGCCGTGGCGACGATTGGCGGCGCGCACAAGGAAGTAGGGGGAGGGGGGACGGCTTCGTCGAAGGAGGCTGCTCTTTAGACGGCGCCGGCCTTACATCTGGAAAGAAGGCCCGCGCCTTCTAAGAAGCAAGGGTGCTTCTAAGAAGCATACACCCCTCCCCCTACCCCCCTCTGCGCGTGGCCGAGACGAGGAAGCCACCAGGAAGCCCAGAAAGCGCGAAGAGCACCAGGGCGCGCCACCGTTGCCTCGACTGGCCCTCCCTCCGGCTTCACGGTCCTGGGCCGGTCCGCCAGGGACCCACCATTACAAAACCGAATCGCCTCGAACCTCGACTCCTCGTCCTCCTCCTATTCCTCCTCCTCCTCCTCCTCCTTCTCCTCCTCCCCATCCTCCTCCTTCTCCTCCTCCGCCTGCTCCTCCTCCTTCTCCTCCTCCGTCTCCTCCACCTCCTCCTCCTCGTCCTCCTCGTCCTCGTCCTCGTCCTCCCCCTTTTCCTCCTCCTCCTCCTCCTCCTCCTCCTCCTCCTCCTCCTCCTCCTCCTGGTTTCTCGCTCCTCGCTCCTCGCTCCTCGCTCCTCGCTCCTCGCTCCGCTCCTCCTCCTCCCTCCCTCCTCCTCCTCCTCCTCCTCCTCCTCCTCCTCCTCCTCCTCCTCCCTCCCCTGTCAGCTCGAACGACACCTTGGGATAGCAACGGGGTGGTCAGCGAATCCGCTGTGTGCCACGGGTTTGCCCCGCACCTCCCGGCACGAGAGGCAGACAGGTGACACGTATGTCGAATGCCCGGCGGCGAGGTCGCTATCAGCTGCATGCAGCAGATGTCGTAGCACCCCGTTCCCGGAGATCCGCGACGTCGACGGAAACCACAGCACCGTGGAACGTCACGCTCTGAGCCCTAGACACCAGCTTTCCCGCGCCTCGCGACGCAATTCTCCCGGCCCCGAGTCCGGGCGAAGGCGCTCGGTGTGACACAATTCCGACGCCTGGAACTCAGGGTTTCCACCAGGGCTGGACCTAAACGTTGCTTTTCGTTTTGTTTTCGTTTTGCTGTCCGTTTTGCTCTGCCTATTTTCCTGCACCTCCCTCCCAAAATGAAAAACAATACACAGCCGAAGTCCAGCAAACAGCGTTTAGGTCCAGCCCTGCCCACCCACTCAGTCCCAGACGTCCGACGTCGCGATCTTTCACAGTATGTGGACATATGGAGGTCTGGACCTTTGCCGCGAGACTGGGCTTTTGTCCCGGCGGGCAGCTCTCGGACCGCCCCGGGGCCCATCGAGGGCCCCCGGCCAGGCCAGAGGTCGGGGAGGGGCAAGAACCCCCCACGGTTGAGAGAAGGTGGCATCCGGAGGCAGGAACAGCTCCAAGAGCCGACAAGAGCGTCGGAGAACGCGTGGCCGACGGGCCCTTCGGGGCCTGTCAAGAGGGGGGCGGCCAGGGGGGGGGGTCGCAGAAGATGGCCGGGGGCATGCGCCCGGACGAAGGGGGGACCCGGGGCCGCACTGAGAACGCACTGAGAGAAGAAGAGGGGGGTCATGAGATTCGTGGGGGCATCATGGCCCAGACCATGATCAGTCCTCACTCCCCTCCTCTGAGATCCGACGTCACGAAACATTGCAGCGTTGTGAAATCACTCGGCCCAAGCCCTGGACCCCATATTTCTACTGCATGTCTCGAGCCGGATCGATCCGTGAGGGCCCGCCCCTATCAGGGCCCGAGACCGTGCAGAGTCGCCCCTTGTGAGGAACACATCGCCAGGGTCTCAAGGTGCCCCCGAGCCCTGCCTGCCCTGGGGGAACTGTGGGGAGGTGCCTGCCTGCTGCTGCCCCTGAGCCCCGCTGGTGGTTGGGCGCCCCCGAGCCCTGCCTGCTCTCGGGGGAACCCGTTGGAAGGTGCCTGCTGCTGCCCCTGAGCCCCGCTGGTGGTTGGGCGCCCCCGAGCCCTGCCCGCCCTCGGGGGAACCCGTTGGAAGGTGCCTGCCTGCTGCTGCCCCTGAGCCCCGCTGGTGGTTGGGCGCCCCCGAGCCCTGCCTGCCCTCGGGGGAACCCGTTGGAAGGTGCCTGCTGTTGCTCCTCAGCCCCGCCCTCGGGGAGACCGTCGGAGGGTGCCGGTGCGGCGCTGCCACCGCCAGGGGGGCGGACAAGAGGAAGGCGGCTGCCACCAGCAGCCTGGAGCCGGCCAGCGGCGACGACATCGCCTCCGCGGGTGCGCTCTGTGGTAGGCGGAGATATGTTTCTCCGCTGCTGCTACTGCTGTTGCTGCTGCTGCTGTTGCTGCTGCTGCGGCTGCTGCTCCTCCTCCTCCAACTCCTCATACTCCTCCTACTCCTCCTCCTACAACTACTACTACTGCCACTACTACTACTACTACTACTACTACTACTACTACTACTACTACTACTACTACTACTACTACTACTACTACTACTACTACTACTACTACTACTACTACTACTACTACTACTACTACTACTACTACTACTACTACTACTACTACTACTACTACTACTACTACTACTACTACTACTACTACTACTACTATTACTACTACTACTACTACTACTACTACTACTGCTACTACTACTACTACTACTGCTACT